GAAGCATATTCTCGTCGAGAAAATTAGCAGCCCTAGAGATAAGACGATCAGTTAGCAAAGCAACTTGCATGAACGACTGACAGATCTGCTAAGCAATTAAAACAAACGAAGCCGAGAAAGTCGTCTGTTTGTTTATTTCATTATGATATCAACATTCCTTTGCTGCTTAAGATTTATGATGCCCCCTGATCTCGACATTTAGCATTTCAATATTAGAGCCGTTCCCTAGGTCGACAAATGCAATATGCCTCATCTACAAGAGATTTCCGTTTGATTTGTACTGTCATGCGATGTGCTGAACGCTCCCTTTGTTGATTTTCTGAGTTCTTATCTTATCAGCTCACTGAGGAGCCAGTTAGGCTCAGTTGCGATTGAATCACGTGCAAACATTCTGTCCTTAATCGTTGAACCGGCTTATTTATGGGGGTCGGCGACCGTTCATTGCAGCCAATGCATATTCTTTTGAATGGACGACTCTGACCACCACGTTTACCTCATTACGTACATGTAGGCATAACGATAGACGACAGTCGCAAGGAGCATTGTGAATATATGCTAGCAGTTTTAAGCTTTTTAATGCAACCAGACATAGTAATGATGATGAAAATATGCAATATTTGCTGATATGCTAGACCCAACAAGCACTGGGATCCAACGTTGCCATCTTTGCATTCTCAAAGAACTGATCGATCTCAGCAATCCATAGGGACGGTTTCTTTTCGCTTGATTGACTGCGTCGTCATAGTTTATTACCTCCCTTCCCTCCCTCATCATTAGGCACTGTTTGCATTGTCATTACGAGATATATGTACATTTGCCTGTTGGAAAGCAGGTCGCCACCGATGCCTGAATTGTCATCGCATTACAAAAATGATCTGGAAACGTGAGCAAATAACGAGTGGTTTTCGAAGCATCGAAATGAGTATGAAATCGTCGAGTGAAATGCGTTTTACTTTGTGCACTTCTGGCGATGATGATTCCATATTCTACATCTCGACACGCCGGGACATGACCGATCACTGGACGTTTGGAGGTTTTTGTGAGGTTTTTGTCCGCCGTCCTAATGGTGCTAGTTGATCCTTTAATAAACGGCCAAAACTGAGCAGCGTGTCGCCAAAAAGCGGTACGAAGCTCGCCGTTTTCATTCGTCAGGCACCACGTGTATTTTCGTGAGGCCTGGTCCTCATAACCTGCTTTCCCTCTGAGTCGCAACGTCGTCGTCGCGGTTGAGCCTAAGAAGGAGCAGGTGTTTTTTTCCGTCTCCGGCCTCATGACCCTGTTCCCTTAAAGTGGCACTGGTGTCACAGGCATCCCGCATTTCTGTTTTGTTTTTTGCGTCGTGCCAATGACCTGCAAATCCGCATTCGACAACGGCAACGGCGACGGCAGCGCTGTAAAGAGAAGACTCGAAGTTGACGAATGGAAGGCAACGTTATTTGCGACCGTTGAAAATTCGCATCTGACCTTAGCAGGTTGTTTTTTGCACTGAGTCAACTTCAGCCTTTGCGTCGCCGGCATTCGTATAAATTCCTGCTCAAAAAATCGTTGCAATCATTGCTAATGTCATCAACGTTGCAAAATGTGCGATTCCGTTTGAGCGGAGCTTGAGTTTCTTCCTCCGCTTCTTACTCGTCACTGTCGCCGAGTCGCTGTCCCGTTCGACTGGTCCGTCAACGGTCGGCTTACGAAGCTGCGAAGCGACGAGGCTAGCTCCGAACCGCAGTCCTGAGCCAGGTCCCCCCATCGTGCCTTCCTGTGGCCACTGTCGCCTAGGAGCTTAGTGTTCTGACAGCTGCTGTGCGCCATCGACCTCCTGACATGGCCGAAGTAAGTTCATTTTCTAATTTCTGATTCTAATTCGTTTTCCTCCCACCGTTCAAGTTCATTACAATTTAATTTAATATAATTTAATTCAATTACTTTAGGTTCAAATGTTCTGTAGCTCACATCAATGCGACTTACAATTCAATGTGCAGTATAATTTCGCATTTCGTTTCAAGTTGTGTTGCCAGTTGATGGGATGTGAAAATTATTATTATTCGAGTTTTATGTCCGTGCAGCATTTTCACGAAAGTGCATGTTTTATTATAAACGGTATCCTGTAACTTGTTAGGGTTAAAATGAATCACACCAAGTTAGGATAAAAAAGTGTTCCTTGAACCTCTGTGATTGATTAG